AAGAGAGCAATTATGGGCCTGAAGTGTTGCTACATTTATGGGCCTACAGTGTTGCTTAATCGAAGCCCAATTAGTAAGAGAGCAATTATGGGCCTGAAGTGTTGCTACATTTATGGGCCTACAGTGTTGCTTAATCGAAGCCCAATTATTAAGAGAGCAATTATGGGCCTGAAGTGTTGCTACATTTATGGGCCTACAGTGTTGCTTAATCGAAGCCCAATTATTAAGAGAGCAATTATGGGCCTGAAGTGTTGCTACATTTATGGGCCTACAGTGTTGCTTAATCGAAGCCCAATTATTAAGAGAGCAATTATGGGCCTGAAGTGTTGCTACATTTATGGGCCTACAGTGTTGCTTAATCGAAGCCCAATTATTAAGAGAGCAATTATGGGCCTGAAGTGTTGCTACATTTATGGGCCTACAGTGTTGCTTAATCGAAGCCCAATTATTAAGAGAGCAATTATGGGCCTGAAGTGTTGCTACATTTATGGGCCTACAGTGTTGCTTAATCGAAGCCCAATTATTAAGAGAGCAATTATGGGCCTGAAGTGTTGCTACATTTATGGGCCTACAGTGTTGCTTAATCGAAGCCCAATTATTAAGAGAGCAATTATGGGCCTGAAGTGTTGCTACATTTATGGGCCTACAGTGTTGCTTAATCGAAGCCCAATTATTAAGAGAGCAATTATGGGCCTGAAGTGTTGCTACATTTATGGGCCTACAGTGTTGCTTAATCGAAGCCCAATTATTAAGAGAGCAATTATGGGCCTGAAGTGTTGCTACATTTATGGGCCTACAGTGTTGCTTAATCGAAGCCCAATTATTAAGAGAGCAATTATGGGCCTGAAGTGTTGCTACATTTATGGGCCTACAGTGTTGCTTAATCGAAGCCCAATTATTAAGAGAGCAATTATGGGCCTGAAGTGTTGCTACATTTATGGGCCTACAGTCTTGCAAAATCGAAGCCCAATTAGTAAGAGAGCAATTATGGGCCTGAAGTGCTGCTACATTTATGGGCCTACAGTGTTGCTTAATCGAAGCCCAATTAGTAAGAGAGTAATTATGGGCCTGCAGTGCTGCTAATTTATGGGCCTACAGTCTTGCAAAAATCGAAGCCCAATTATTAAGCAATTATGGGCCTGCAGTGTTGCTAGATTTATGGGCCTATAGTGTTGCTAAATCGAAGCCCAATTAATAAGAGAGCAATTATGGGCCTGAAGTGCTCTACATTTATGGGCCTACAGTGTTACTTTTTTTTTACAATATTGAAAACTATTAAATTTTATTTATTTATTTTTAGTAAACTTCACCGTATGTACATTCGCAAAAACTATTAAATCGAAGCCTAAGTCCATCCATATAAAATATGAAAGCTCGACAAATTTGGAGTTAATCGGACACCAGATGGACAATCCACATCACCATATGTACATTCGCAAAAATCCTGTCTACAACTGCTAGATTGGAAATACCTCAAAATATACCATAAGGGAGGCATGATGTCAGCTCCCCACCACCCTTGGCCTTGTGGTCTAACCAAGCTATCTTATGGCACATACGTGTGTCACATCGAGGGCGAGCGTTACAAGACGAGTGTCTTAGACGACTTCCTTTGAAATTGGTCTTTCAAGGACAGTGTCCCGTGCCGACATTGTGTCTTAACACATGTGTCAGAGGTTGAATCATACACCCGCTATCCGGTACGGAGTCTATAAATGATATGACATACACGGGAGGGTGCAATGCCTCAATAGAACCTAGATTGGTGGATGTTCGGAATGTCCCGATATTATGAATGACACGTGGGTCTGTTCTCGATGGCATGACCGAGTGAGTTGTGATGGCTAAAAACAGCCTATAACTTGGGATGACATCAAGACATGTGGGTCATGTTAATTAAGAACTAAGATGATTTGAGATGCGACATTGCACATGAAAAACCTTGTCCTTACGACAAGGTCTAGCCGAATGACTTGACCTACTGTAGTGGCAAGTCGATTGGATCGCAGAAGATTGTACAAGCATGCACCGCCAACATGTGTGACCAAACAAGCATGGATTTCACACAAGTTATATTCGGTGGGTGAAGACAAACATCACCTAAGATCCGACGAAGCCACAAAGTCGGGCGAAGAAGGAATATGGGGCTTGGGTTCCTCTCAAGACTAGTCGTGAGCGTATCAAGATCACGATACCGTGTAGTTGAAAAAGTAGGACTGTGACAATGAGCACCCAAATTGGTTTAAGCAATTGAAACGCTCGGTTTCATGCCAACTGCTTGCATATTTGGTTGAAGATCTCAACTTTCTCTTTTGATAATAAAACTACCATCATTCCTCCCCAGGTAAGGACAGACCTACGAGGAATTTCTCTAAACATAATTGAAATTTTCAACTCTAGAAACATGGCATACATATCCAACAAACAAGTTTAATAGTTTTCAATATTATAAAATATAGATTATGTATTTTAAAAAATGAAAATTTAATAGTTTACTAAAAAAATAAAATTTAATATAGGCCCATAAATAAATAAAATTTACTAAAAATTATATTATAAAATATAGATTATGTATTTTAAAAAATGAAAATTTTGAGATTATTAATTGATTATTTATGAGCTAATAAAACTGGGATATACTAATATTATAAATAGGTTTTAACTCAATTATTTGCTTTATTGTATACATTAATATTGGTCACCAAGAACCCAAATAATTCATGTGGTTTTATTCTAATATATGCCCATATAAAATATTGATGTGCATATTTATTCATAATTTTAAAAAATAAACTTCATATTTTAATAATTAAAAAAAAAAAAAAAGAAAAAAAAGTAAGTACACCAACCAAAAATTGGCAACAAATAATAAATTAGTATTTTGGACCCCACATTTCCGAGATAGTTGATCTGTATGTCCACCTGTCATCTCCACCACCGCCAAATTGCTCAAATAATACTATTGATTACGCCACATCATCACTCAACTGACAGCCGACAAAAGTCCTGTCACCACAAAATTACAATTTTGCCCTTGTTAAAGTTTTTACTACTGCTAATCACCGTGCTCGTGAGCTTTGACTTGGACATTATAGTCAAATAGAATACTTTTTTTAAAAAAGCCGTGACAGCTCGGAAATTAGGAGGAAGGTTGTAATATCTAGAAAAGTGCGGTTGGCCTTTTGACTTTTTGTTTTTAAAACAATTAGGGTTTGTATATACATACTCTAATCATCCTATTTGTCTTTTACTCGGTTACAAAATAATTTAAACTTTTATGATCGGTATAAATTGGAGTCTTTTAGTGTCGGGCAAATTTGAACGGTAAACACCATCGCCGCTAACAGTTATTTTTCGTCTTTCAATCTCAATTTTATTTTTCCACTCGCTCAACTTTTTATATTATTTTTTTCCACTCGTGAGTTATGTAAATATATAATATTAATTAATGTACTATTTACTATTAAATTTTAAATTCTAAAAAAATCTCGCACTTGGAAATTAAAATATAGGATCTCACGATCATGATTGTCCAAAGCATGTTACCTGTGGGCGCATAACAGATGTTCCAGTCTTGCTTGTCTGAGTCGGTTGACAAGGAGGATGTCACGGTCATGCTTGTTCAAAGCATGTTGCTTATGGCCGCATGACAGATGTTCCAGTCTTGCTTGTTCGAGTCGGTTGACAGGAATGTCAACCAATTGAGTGGGGGAGGATGTCACGAAAGGCATGTTGCCTATGGTTGCATGTCCATTCCAAACCCCTTTTTTCATGCTTTCATCTTAGATAGGCTTTTACCATTTCATATCGAGTCAATACGGGAGTATATGAACGTTTACCAGAATCACGTCGGGACAAAAATGATGATAATTCATTATTTTGTGGAACTTTTCAAACATGAGACTAATAATATTTAATATTTTATTTTGATTTATTTCAATTCTATTGATTTTTTTTTATCAATATTGTTTTATGAATATACTTAAAGTACCAAGATATGTAACCTACCTGCTCGAAGTATAAAATTTAATCAAACGACAAAATTATTTTAAAATGAATGTATACCGTAAAGTCTTTTATTCATGATTAGACATAGTACGAACTTTGATTATCTTAACTAGCTAGAAAACAAAAATTATTAGAAATTAATCTTTTTTTTAATAAGGTAGGTATAGAAAAATATAATTTTTATTTAATTAAAATTATAAAATCTAACTCAACTTTAATTCATAAATAATTACGATCAAATATATTATAAATATGACTTGGTGGGTCAAAGTTGCTTCACAACGGTTCATTTAGCATCTTAGACCAACATTAAAGCAATTAATTAGTGGGTGATTATCAATTAATTAATATGATAAATACTTTTTTTTTCTTTTTTTTTTTTAAACAAATATATCAACACTCATACTTTAATTATGTAACGAGAATAATTTAATATAAAAGCTCAATAAACTTGGCCACCTTAATGATTTTTTTTATATATATTTAATTATACACGCTCATGATTTATGTCTCCTATTATTTTTTGAATGATTTTTTTAAATATATTATTTATGAACTATATTGTTTATTATATAGAGTCCATTTTAAAAAAATAATTATTTTAAAAGATAAATTTGTCGTGACACCCAAGTAAAGGAGGATATATAAATGAAACGAGATGATATCCAAACGAGAGTGATCTTGAATATAAGATAACTAAGAGATAATTCAAAAGAAATTAAAATAATACCCGTCTTTACAGCTGCCTAAATTTCTAAAAAAGAAAATACACTAAATTTTCCAAAATTGAAAATGTGAAATAAAAAAAAATAGAATTCGGAACTAATGACCTTTTAAATTAGTTTAGCCGCATTAACTAAATTCAAATTTTAACAAATTTGATCATTAATTTAAATTTTAGAAAATCTATAATAAAAGGAAAAAATAGAAAATAGGTTTAAATATATATATAGAGAGACAGAAAACGTGTCCCCATATTTTCTCCAAATTGACCCTGCGGTACTGACTAAAAATATTGCAAAACGGTCAATAATTGTAATAAGAAGGAGGGTAGTTTAGGTAATATAACAAAAAGCTCCTGAACCCTTGGAATCTACGGAGAAGAAGAACCTCACGATGATCTCGAGAATGGAGACTATATAAAAGCCGTATTACCTAAATTGAAAGCTGTACACTGTAATCTCCGGCTTCCTTTTCCGATCTTATGGAGCCCGGTGGTCCGCCCACGCCGCCGCCGCTCCCTCCTCTGCCTACCGGCGCTATACTCCTCGGCAAGTACCAATTGGGACGTTTCCTCGGTCGTGGAAGCTTTGCCAAGGTGTACCAGGCCTGTTCTCTTGCCGATAACTCCATCGTCGCCATTAAAATCATTGACAAGAACAAAACCATCGATGCCGCTATGGAGCCGTGCATTGTCCGTGAGATTTCCGTCATGCGCCGTCTTCAGCACCATCCGAATATCCTCAGAATCCATGAAGTTATGGCGACGAAGACGAAGATCTACCTCGTTGTCGATTACGCCTCTGGCGGTGAGCTATTCGCGAAACTCCTCCGCCGTGGACGGCTGACAGAATCAACCGCCCGCCGGTACTTTCAACAACTGGTATCTGCTCTACATTTCTGTCACCAGAACGGTGTCGCTCATCGCGACATCAAGCCCCAAAATCTTCTACTCGATGAAGACGGTAACCTCAAGGTCTCCGACTTCGGTCTCTCGGCCTTACCAGAGCAGATCAAAGACGGAATGCTCCATACCGCATGCGGAACTCCAGCATACACCGCGCCGGAGGTTGTTTCCCGACGAGGCTACGACGGCGCTAAAGCCGACGCGTGGTCCTGCGGCGTTATCCTCTTCGTTTTACTCTCCGGCCATCTTCCATTCAGCGACAACAACCTGGTCGCCATGTACAAGAAGGTTTATCGACGGGAATATCACTTCCCCGATTCAATTTCGAAGCCAGCGAGACATTTGATCTTCCAATTACTCGATCCTGATCCGAATACAAGGATGAGCATGGAGGCGTTGATGCAGCATTCGTGGTTCAAGAAATCGCTGCGATCGAAGCCCCAAATTAACAACAAGAGCTTGTTTGAATCATTGGGTAATTACAAATCTGATTTAGGGGTTTCTGGGTTAAATGCGTTTCATATAATATCGATGTCTTCTGGGTTGGATCTGTCTGGTTTGTTCGAGACAACGGATTGTAAGAAGAAGAGGTTCACGACAGGTGTGAGTATGGAGAAGGTGGAAGAAAGGGTAACAGAGATTGGAGGAGAATTGGGTTACAGAGTGGAGAAAGGGAAAAGTGGGGCAATTGGGTTGGGGAAAGGAAGGATGATACTGGTGGTGGAGGCTTTGAAAATAACCTCAAATCTGTTAATGGTGGAAGTGAAGGCAGCTGAATCCAAGATGGAGTTTGAGAGGACGCATTGGGGGGATTTGAAAGCCAAGTTGCAGGACATTGTTGGTTCCTGGCACTCAAATGAGGCAATGTGAATGAGAATTAGGATTCCTTGGGCTTGTTTCACCGACCAAACCGCGGGGGGGCTCCGCCGGAGGACGGTTCGTTGTCTATAAACATGTTTATATGCATATATGCAAAGGGATTTTCGAGCTTACTGAGAGAGATAGGGAAGACATGATCCAATTCCAAGATTGTACTCCTGTATTTGGGAAAGTTCATTCCAGAAATGACATGAACAGAGATATGATGAAGTTCCCTCCATGATCAAACGAAAGCTTCAAGTTTCACTTTCAGGTTCGTTTGTAATGCTTTTGGAAGCTTCAAGTAATTCTGTTCTCTGTAAGAAGTTTAACTGCCCTGAGTGGTGGTTCTCTATTGATTTATATAAAATAACTTCCTAATTTACTCTTACCTGCAAAATCTCTGATCAAATTATTACTACTTTGATGATTATAGCAACTATTTTGAACACACGAGATGAGCAGGCATTCAAATGCAGCTCTCTCATGAATCTAAGTAGAATGACGTAGACTTATAGATAATCATCCTTGATACTCATTCCAACAACAGAAGATAGAACCGAACCCCACGCCTGTAATCCGCTCTGAGCGTCCTTTTTTACCGATAATTCTAGCTTTCTGACTGCCTGCTTCGAAACGCCACATTTTAACAGAATGACCCCGAGCGATTTATACGTGCATTCATCAGGTTGAATGGAAGTTTTAATCATGTCTTGGAATGTACTAACCGCCTCCTTGAATCGACCGTCCATAGCGTATAAACTGATCATGTTATTGAAGCTCAACAATTCTGTTAAAAGTCCTTGTTCCTTCATCTGTCTTGCAATACTAATGGCTTCCTGTAATCTTCCTTTTTTCTTGTACATGCACAACATCATTGCAAAAGTGAACTCATTTGCTTCTCCCTTTCTCTTCAACCTCTCGAAAATCTCTTCCGCTTGTTTATCCATCGAACGTTTGCTATAAATGTCGATCATACAATTCGAAGAATAGATAGCTGGACCATCATCTGTTTGCTGAAGCATCTTGTATGCCTCCTGTGCTTCTTTGAGGTAGTCAACTTTGGTGTAGAGCTTTATCAACGAGTTGTATATAACGGTATTACCAGGCAAACCAGCCCGTTTCATTGCGTCGACATAACCAATAGCTTCTCTAACACTCCCAGCATCAGCAAAAGCATTTATCAGCACACCATAAACAACGATATCAGGCTGCATACCATGTTCGATCATCTCTCTATAAAGTTCGTCCGCCTTTTCCAAATAACCGAGTTTCGAAAAGCTTGATATAACCACTGAATATGGAATGCAATCACTTACCAATCCAGCTGACTGCATCTTCCTCAGATAAGAGAGTGCCATGGCCGGCATATCAGCACCACACAATATCTGTATCAGAGAACTATAGCTACATTTATCAGGAGTGACGCCATTACTCTCCATACTATCAAATGATTTTTGTGCTTTGACATAATCCTTTACCACACCATAGGCTTTAATCATCACATTATACTCAAGGACTGTGAGCTTCTTCTCTTCTTGGCAGCTGACAAAAACTCTCTCTGCTTCTACAATACATCCACGCTCCCCATATGCATCAATATTAGCCGAATAACACTCGGAGCTCATACGCCCTGTAAGATGAAATCTCCAGAACCACGACCACGACTTTTCGAGCATTTCTGCGTTGATATACATACGGGTCAGTGCTGATTGGGTGAATTCATCGATCTCAAGTCCCCTTTCATCCATTTCGGCTACGAGTTGTTCAGCCTCCACAACCATCTGCCTGATAGAATAAGCATACAAAAGAGTACGGTAGCTCACTATATCCGGCTGAAGACAAGCCTCCTTCATCTCTGCAAAATAATTTGAAGCCAAGTCAATGTTATCATGCTTAGCATGAAGAGAAATGAGGATATTGTATGTTCTTGTATCAGGTGGGCATTGAAGCTCCTCCATCTTCTGCATTAGCAATGTCACTTCTTTCAACTTGCCATGGTTGCCACAAATGTGAATCATAGTATTGAAAGTCACGGTTGTCGGCGCAACTCCTTCATTTAGCATGTTTTCGAAAGTCGTTGCGGCTTCTTGTAGCTGTCCAGCCTTCCCATATGTGTCAATCAATGTATTATATGTATAGGTACTCAAACTAACATGAGGAGGGTGCAGAGAATTCTCAACTTTAGCAGAAGCTACTTCGTTCTGGTTGGTAATCTCACATTTCGTTGAGTTTCTTGATGACCACTTCTTGAAGAAACTCTCAGCCTTCTGAAACTCTCCAGCCTTCTTATACAATTGAACAACAATTCCCATGGTGACCTCATCCGGTTCCATTCTCTGTTCATTCATCCTTTCAAGCCATGCCAACGCCTCTTCTGTAAAGCCCCCTTTCCCGTAAACATCGATCAACGTTCCATAAGTCGAATTTATCGGATTAATACCCCTTTTGTTCATCTCTGCCCACAAACTCTCAACTAGTCTCCATTTCTGGGCCTTCCCAAGAATCCGAAGAACAATATTATAGTGAATCACATTCACTTCATAGCCACCTGCCATTTTAAACCACTCGAAAATCTCCAAAGCCCTCTCCCAACTGGTCTGCTCTTTCAGAATTATACTCCTTTCCTTGCTATTAAGCTTATCTTTCCAAGGCTTCAGTGCTTCATCCAAGTCACTGACTTCATCTAACGCTTGCAAAATCGCTGGTATGCATCCACCATACGATAGGCATTTCGTCGAACACTTGGGGTGCACTTTTTCCACCGACCCATTTCCATCTTCCCATTCATCCTTTTTCACAACTCTATTACCCAAATGGCGATTTCTTTTGTGGGGTTCTCGTTCCTCCGTTTTACTCGCTTTTTTCAGGCGAGTTTCCTGCCGGCGACCTCCATTATTATTAGTGCATTTTTTAACTCCACCGACGTTCTTTGAGTCTCTGTTCGGACATTCAGGAATCCAGCAGTGTTTGGACTTCCTGGAAATGGGGACGAGATTATCAGGGGGAGAAATTGAGACTCCGACGGTGGATGACCTGAGGGTGGAACTCAGTCCAGGGAAGCAGGGCGTATCCAAATACTGCAGCTTCACGAACATTTTTGCGAGATGAATAGAAGAAAATTAAGTCACTCGGAGAGAGCAGAAACGGCGAAATTCAACTTCTTGGATTGCTGGTGGAGTTGATTTAAGAACTGGTTCATCGAGACGGGATGATGCGGGTCAAAGCACAACAATGGTGATTATCAGATGCATAGAGAATGGATATAGCGAGGGAACTCGGGAGTCATTTTTTTATTTCAAAGGTTTTACAGAATAAGGAGTAATTTGACAAAAAAATATATATTTTTTAATTTTATTTTATATATATATATATATATATTATTATTATTATTATTATTATTATTATTACCTTTTTTTTTTATGTTAAACAACTTATGAGTTATACTCATTCGTATTGACCAGAAAATTAAACTAAATTTCAGTTGAACTTTTAAAATTTATTTCAAAAAATATTCATAAACTTTGAAATTGGGCCAAAAAACTGTCTACCTTTAAATTCTTCCAAATAAAAATATCAAGTAGCAATTGATATGTTAATTTGTATGTAAAATATTAAAAACATACCATATATGATATATAATTATATAGAAGATTAAGATAGATATGGTCATTTATTTGATCTCAAACTTTAAAACTATTTACCTAATCAATTTTACATATCAAATGACGTTACGCATGTTGTCTTATCAATTTTCAACTTATTTTAACAAAAAAAAAAAATCAGGCTTTTTTATTTTCAAGGTTAAATAGTAAAAAGAAGTGAAAATCTATCTAAAAATTTAAAGACGTTTGTGTGAATATTATTTTCATATTCCAAAAATGTCATCCCTCCTATTTAATTAACGTACAAAAGATATAAAAAGGAAATCAAAAGAAGTAAAGAGAAATACTAAAAAATGACAGTGGTGATGTGATAAATAAATTTAATGCAGCCCTAAAGTCATACCATTTAAGATGCTTTTAGTAAATATTGGGTAGCAATCAATTATTTTGATGCTTAGTTTCATACATATAAAAGTGGAAGTGCTTTGTGGCCAAACACTTTGTCGCATAAGTAGTGACCTGTACGAATGGTGTAACGACTGTCCCGCTGTCTCTGATATAGACCCAGTCTTCCTCCCAGTGTTGTTGCCCGCTGGGGGAAGGAAAGTTTAGTGGGTTTTCCTTCTGCCCGCTGGGGGAAGGAAAGTTTAGTGGGTTTTCCTTCCAAGACCGGAGAAGATCAAACTCTGGAACCAAACAATTTTCTGAGTTTTCAAGAGTCACACCGCTAGCTTTCACTATCCAACTAAGATTCTCTCTTTAATGTTTTGTATTGCAGCTCATCTAAGTGTGATGGCTGGTCACCCACCAGGCTTGGTGTGCTTGGACGGATTCGTCTTCAGCTAGTGTAAAAGACTTACCTCTAGATCAATCACTTTCAATCAATCAACAAAAGAAACGACACACATTCCTAACTATTTGGTCTTGATCCTACCCGACTAAGACATGTTAGCAATGGAGGAGTAATCATTATAGTTCTTCAACAAAAAAAAACAAAGGAGTTTGGTAACATTATTGATGTAATTCAAGTCTACATCGACTAGAGAGAGGATTGAGTGCCAGCAAGAACGCTGGGCCTCGAAGGGGTATGGATTGTAAGATCCCACGTCGACTTGAGAAAGGAATGAGTGTCAGCGAGAACGCTGAGCCTCGAAGGGGTGTGGATTGTGAGATCCCACATCAATTGGAGAAGAGAACGAGTGCCAAAGAGGATGACGCTGAGACTCGAAGGGGTGTGGATTGTGAGATCCCATATCAATTGGAGAAGAGAACGAGTGCCAAAGAGGATGTTGGGCCCCAAATGGGGGTGGATTGTGAGATCTCATATCAGTTGGAGAGAGAAACAAAGCATTCTTTATAAGGGTGTTTGGACTAAGTGGACTATTACATACGGTGGTTGGCAAGCATTAGTGCTCAGTTCTTCTCTTGCAAGTATTATTTGGTATTTATCATTTCTCCTTGTACATTTTTGCTTGCAAAAATCAAACAATCAAATTGTGAGGAGCAAGTAAGGCTCAAAGGTTGGAATAATAAGCGTCATTTAATTGAGAATGAGTGGCTTAATAACATGAACAAGAGTGCACAGAACCAGTTGTACCAAGTTGAGAGTGACAAAATAAGTACAAAGCATGGGATCAATGATGCTAAAATGCTGAGAAAGGGAATGCCACTCACTTGAGGTACTTCTTGAACCACACACAAATGTTGAGGAAGCTTTCAAAATCCGATTGCGGCCTGATTCAGAGATAAAATGAATAAGCCTAAAATAGTTTCCTATTTTTCAAAT